GTTTACGAGCTGGACAGGGCCGTAGAAGGTCCTTAACCCATCAGCAGGACCGGTATCTGCTCCTTTGTGCAAGGAGGAACAGGATGAGTACTGCCAGAGCCCTACAAAATGATCTCCAGCAGGCCACTGGTGTGAATGTCTCTGACCAAACAATCAGAAACAGACTTCATGAGGGTGGCCTGAGGGCTTGACGTCCTCTAGTGGGCCCTATGCTCACTGCCCGGCACCATAGAGCTCGATTGGCATTTGCCATTGAACACCAGAATTGGCAGGTCCACCACTGGCGCCATGTGCTTTTCACAGCTGAGAGCAGGTTCACCCTGAGCACATGTGACAGACGTGAAAGGGTCTGGAGAAGCCGTGGAGAACGTTCTGCTGCCTGTAACATTGTTCAGCATGACTATTTTGGTGGTGGGTCAGTGATGGTCTGGGGAGGCATATCCATGGAACGACGCACAGACCTCTACAGGCTAGACAACGGCACCCTGACTTCCATTAGTTATCGGGATGAAATCCTTGGACCCATTGTCAGACCCTATGCTGGTGCAGTGGGTCCTGGGTTCCTCCTGGTGCACGAAAATGCCCGGCCTCATATGGCGAGAGTATGCAGGCAGTTCCTGGGGGATGAAGGAAGTGATACCATTGAATGGCCCCACCCTCTCTTGACCTAAATCCAATAGAACACCTCTGGGATATCAGAGAACGCCACTAGGTTACCCCTCAGACTGTCCAGGAGCTCAGTGAAGCCCTGGCCCAGATCTGGGAGGAAATCCCCCAGGACACCATCCGTCGTCTCATTAGGAGCATGCCCCGATGTTGTCAGGCATACATACAAGCACGTGGGGGCTGTGACTCCCCTATGCAGCCCTTGGAATCTCATACTCTTTAGTCATGCTTCAGGATTCAGCAAATAATAATAATAATAATTAGACACTTAGGGGAGATTTACTAAAACTGGAGAGTGCATAATATGGTGCTGCTGTGAATAGTAGCCAATCAGCTTCTATTTTCAGCTTGTTGAGTTAAGCTTTGACAATAAAACTGGAAGCTGATTGGTTGCTATGCAGAGCTGCGCCAGATTTTGCACTCTCCAGCTTTTAGTAAATCTCCCCCCAATTGTATGAAAGGTTTGGCTTTTAAGTTCTCTCTGATAGAGACCAATGTTGATTCCTTTAAAATGAAATAAATATGCACATATGGAAGGAGCACCAGACCAAAAGATAAGAGTCCAAATTAATTTATTGATGTCATATTAGAAGACTTCCAACGTGTTTTGGGGGTCAAAGGAACTCCCCCTTCATCAGGGCTTCTAGTAAAAACGAGAACCTTGAATGGGCTCAAAGAAATGCTTTCCTGTTTGAACCTGTGCAGTGGGGCTGATTGCTGGAGTTGGATTCCTGACCAGCAGTATCTGCATCAGCAGTACAACTAAGACGGTTCTCAGTTTGGATGCCCCTGCCCTTTTTGTAAATTTGCTTTTGTATTTGTATAATTGTATATCTGTTAGAATCCAAATGAGAATTTTGTTTAAAGTGGGACTTTACTCTCTCAATCAGCATTAATTATTTTTAATCCGTATGCTGCTAGTCTTAGTACATAGAGAGGAAGGTATATAAGGACCTTCTCTGTTCTGAAGTGCCCAGTCTCGAATGGGCAAGAAAGGGTTTGGATCACTGGGTCAGGAATAGGACTTCCAACACCAGTGCGTCAGTCCGATCACGACAGTGCTAATACTAATCATTGTTCAGCTGTCGCAATCAAGAGCCATATAACCGTTTTGTTTGTGTTTCTCTGGGATTCTACAGAGGCTACAAATGTGTTTTACATGGGACCAGCACAGCGGCTAAATGATTAGCATTTCCGCTTGGCAGTACTAAGGTTGTTGGTTCAAATCCCAACCACAGCACCACCTGTCTGGAGTTTGCATGTTCTCTCTGTGCCTCTCTGACCAGACGGCTTCCCTAGGCTTGGTGTCACCCAAGTGTTTCCCAGCAAATTCGGACATAATAGATAGGACTCCAATCCATTATGCTCAATCCGCAGATCCGATCCATCCTGCGGGGATCGTCGGCTTTCTTTACAACTTACTTTTTCTTGGAGCGGGTCCAGTGTCACCCCGTATAGGTTGCATGCCGACGATCCCCGCAGGATGGTTTGGATCTGAGGATTGAGCATAATGGATCAGAGTCCGATCCATTATGCTCCCCAATCCGCAGATCCCATCCATCCTGCGGGGATCGTCGGCATGCAACCTATATGGGGTGACACCGGACCCGCTCCAAGAAAAAGTAAGTTGTAAAGAGTTGGATTGGATCCATCCGGCGGGGATCGTTGGCTTGCTTTACAACTTACCTTTTTGTGGAGTGGGTCCGGTGTCAACCCTGTGCGGTTGGTGTCACCCTGGTGTGGGCCGCACCCCCCGCACCTGCCTCATGACGCCACTGCCCCTGACAGACCCTTGCTTTCTGTGTGGAAGCAGTCATCTGTCTGCTGTGGTCCAGCTCAATCAACAGTGAGCTCGAGCTGTGCTGATCACAGAGCTGTAGGTCTGGCTCATCAGGAGGTGTATTGGACCTCTGCAGGGAGACGTTTGCTTGCACTGGGAGAACAAGGGTCTTTCTCTGCAGAATGCTGCCAGGGGACAGGCTTTTCTAATCAGACTGTGGCTGTTTTCCAAACTAAACAAACTATAAGTGTTTGAACACTTTTTTTTTATTTCATACCTGGAATATATTTATCTGATTAAATAGAAAGTTTATTTGGACTTCAACTTCTTTGCACCGGCCGCACGCCGCATGGCCTTGATGCCGAGTGGCCGCGTATTGGCGTGCCATTAAGAAAAACATATGTGCTGAGAGCACTCCCAGCACGCGTGTCTGGTACTCACGGAAAGGTCCCGATCTCCTCTTTCGATTGGGACCTTTCCCGATCATGTGGCCGCTGTAACAGTGAATCATGGCAGTCACATTATTATTATTATACAGTATTTATATAGCGCCAAAGGATTTGCTCAGCGCTGTACAATAGCAAGGGGGACAGAACATGAGACAAAACAGTAAAAGTACAATACACGAGGGGTTCGAGGGCCCTGCTCTTTCGAGCTTACAATCTAGGAGGGAGGGGAAGTGGTACAGGAGAAAGTGGCTGTGGGAGATGGAGTGGTGGGAAAAGTGGAGGAGATCGGTTGTTACGTGAGGGTGGGGTAGGCTTCCCTGAAGAGATGGGTTTTCAGGGTGCGCCTGAAGGTGAGGAGGGTAGGTGACAGTCTAGGGAGTTTCAGAGGATGGGGAAAGTCCTGGAGAAGTCCTGCAGTCGGGCATGGGAGGAGGAGACCAGGGAGCTAGAGAGTAGGAGGTCCTGTGAGGAGCGAAGGGCACGGGTATGGTGGTATTTGGGTATCAGGTCAGTTAGGTAGTTTGCGGCGGCGTTATGAATGGCTTTGTAGGTCAGAGTTAGTAATTTGAATTTGATGCGTTGGGCAATCGGGAGCCAGTGAAGGGATTGGCAGAGGGGGGGTGGCAGATGTGGAGAGGTTGGTGAGGTGGATGAGTCTAGCCGCTGAGTTCAGGATTGACTGGAGTGGGGATAGCGTTTGTTTGGGTAGGCCAGTGAGAAGGGAGTGACAGTAGTCCAGGCGTGAGATGATGAGGGAGTGTACGAGTTGTTTAGTAGTGTCTTGGGTGAGGAATGTACGTATCTTGGAGATGTTGAGGAGGTGGAGCCTGCATGACTTTGATAGTGATTGGACATGAGGTTGGAAGGAAAGGATTGAGTCCAGGGTGACACCCAGTACTTTGGCGTGTGGGGTGGGATTAATGGTCGCGTTGCTAGTAGTGATGGAGAGGTTGGGGGGGGCGTGGGCTGGGGGGAAAACCAGGAGCTCGGTTTTGGACAGGTTTAACTTGAGGAAATGGAACGACATCCAGTCTGATATTTCGTTCAGCAGGTGGGCGATGTGGGCGGAGAGTGAGGGGGTGAGGTGGGGGGTGGAGAGGTAAACTTGTGTGTCGTCGTCGGCATATAGGTGATAGTTGAAGCCGTGGGAGTGTATCAGTTTGCCAAGGGAGGAGGTGTAGATGGAGAAGAGGAGGGGTCCGAGGACAGAGCCTTGGGGGACTCCAACAGAGAGGGGGAGAAAGGGGGAGATAGCAGTGTTATAGGTGACGCTGAAGGAGCGTTGGGATAGGTAGGAGGAGAACCAAGAGAGAGCAGCGTCCCTGATACCAAGGGAGTGCAGTTTTGTAAGGAGGAGGGGGGTGGTCGACTGTGTCGAAGGCCGCGGAGAGGTCGAGGAGCAGGAGGACATGACCCTAAAACCCCGCCCTGCCTCCCTGCTTCTGAAACCCTTAAAGGGCCGGGAGGCACCTGTGCCAAGGGGTTAACTTGGCTTTTTTGGCTGTAGGAGTGCAGTTTTTAGGTATTAATAGTATTGATATAATATAAGATGATAATCTTTTTTGTTGTTTTTTTTTTTTAGGAGTGCTGAGAATCTGAATGACTCTTCTTACCCAAATTATGAAGATAATTCTTACATTAGTATGCATAGCATCATAAATATGTCTATCACATGGTACAGCGTGACCTTAATCTTGGGTTTAGTAGGAAATGGTTTAGTCATTTGGATTGCTGGATTCAGGATGAAGACAGTAGGCTCCGTATGGTTCCTCCACTTGGCCATTGCTGATTTTATTAAGTGTATTTCTCTTCCTCTGCGGATCTCGGAGTGGGCTTTGTTTTTCTATATCCCTTACGATGATTATCTCTGTACAATCGGTATAACTCTTCTATACATGAATATGTCAGCTAGCGTCTACTTCATGTCCATCATTTGCATTGACCGATGTGTTTCCATTATGTGGCCAATCTGGAGCAAACTACACAGAACCCCCCGGAAAATACGCATCATTTCCATATTGACTTGGATGTTGAGCCTCCTTACCAGCATCCCCTATATCCTGTTCAACCATTTCTATGAAGAAATCACAGAGTGTTTCCCTAAAGGTTGGTACTATGATGAGGAAGAAGAAAAGGAAAAAATAAAGATAAGAAAGGCAATGTTCATCATGAGAAGCATAAGCATGTTTGCCGTACCGTTCACAATTATTTTGATATCCTGTACCCTGATCTTTTTTAAAATGCGAAAATTTAGAAAACCAAAGAGATCCCGACGTTCTTTCAGGCTCATCATAGCTGTCGTGGTGTGCTTTTTCATCTGCTGGTTTCCCTATAATATCTGGCCTTTCATAACCATCAGTGGACAGTATTGGAACCTCGATAGACTTATTACTGAAATTTCGGTCTGCCTGGCTTACTTCAGCAGCTGCATCAACCCCATTATCTATGTCTTCTTCTGCCATGATTTTAAGAAAAATTTCATTAAGTCCTTACCAGCACGCTCAACAAAGCTTTCAATGAAGATTCTGACTTGAGCTGCAAAAGATGGTGTCACCACACATAACAATCCCAATGTGCAGTCTTCATTGCTATAAATAAAACTATGATAACCTTGTTGTGTTAAAGTGGTTCTAAAGGCTGAAGGTTTGTCATTCTATGCATGAAGGTAAAAAAAACTTTCTGTGTGTTGCTCCCCCAACAGCCCCCTTATTACTTACCCCTTTCGATCCAGTGATGTGCACAAGAGCCTTGGGTGTCCCAGGACTCCCTCTCCTCATTGGTTGAGACACAGCAGCGAGGGCCATAGGCTACTACTGCTGTCAATTACAGCCAGTGAGCCAATGAGGAAAGATCAAGGGGGGAGGGGCTTGAGACACAGCTTTATGTTATCTCTCGCCTTGACTATTGTAACTCCCTCCTCATTAGCCGACCTCATCGCAGGCTATCCCCTCTTCAGTCAATCATGAATGCTGCTGCTAGACTCATCCACCTTACTAACCATTCCATATCTGCCATCCCTCTCTGCCAATCCTCCACTGAACTCCACTCAGTGCCCCCATCCCTCTCTGCCAATCCCTCCACTGGCCTCCACTCAGTGTCCCCCCCCTCTCTGCCAATCCCTCCACTGGCCTCCACTCAGTGTCCTCCACCCCCCTCTGCCAATCCCTCCACTGGTCTCCACTCAGTGTCCTCCATGCCTCTCTGCCAATCTCTCCACTGTCTCCACTCAGTGTCTCCACCCCTTTCTCTGCCAATCTCTCCACTGTCCTCCACTCAGTGTCTCCACCCCTCTCTGTCAATCCCTCCACTAATCTTCACTCAGTGTCCTCCATCCCTCTCTGCCAATCTCTCCACTGATCTCCACTCAGTGTCCTCCATCCCTCTCTGCCAATCCCTCCACTGCTCTACACTCAGTGTCCTCCATGCCTCTCTGCCAATCTCTCCACTGTCCTCCACTTAGTGTCCTCCATCCCTCTCTG